TAATGTAATTTTCTTGGCATACAAGTACGTACGTAGTGCGTATAAAAAACTCAAGAAACAAAACAATTATGTAAAAATATAAGCAGTAGGTCCATTGCTTAGTCAAAATTTTAATCAAATAAAAAAAATATTCTTACATGTACTTAAGAAACAAAACAATCCTCTGAAAATCACAAGTAGGTCTACTGCCTAGTCAAAATTTCAATTAAGTGAGTAAAATAAATATAGTCAACGCCAAACAAAGTGGCGTGCACGTCATCACGATAAAAATTCCCCGACCTAATGCCTAGGTTTCTATCACAAACAATTGCTCTATTGCAGTTTCATATTAATGTGATATATAAATTGTAAAATGGTCATTACTCTCTTATTATGGTTAATAGTCATATAAACATTGTTATTAAAATATCACATAAGTTGCTTTCTGATAAATTTAGACGCATTATGCGAAATAAAATGTTTTGCAAACGCTCCAATCACTTATCGACATGTAAACGCACTAAACCGATTTCGCAGCGTTGACACATTGTCACCTTGAAACTTATTTAAACTGGGAACTGGCATTTGTATTAATTTTGACACTGAATCAATTTGTGGCAGTTCAAATCTTTATAAATCCTTTGGCCCCGCATACTGTAAATCAACAACTGTTTGTTTCAAAACAAAATTATTCATTTTACGAGTAGATAAAGGCAATTTTGGTATATAAAGATGCCCAAACAGTTAAATAGTCGGTGTAAGGAACTCGTGGCCTCGTTAATGCACTACTTTGAGCAAGAAAGGGACAACAACGGGCCTTTGTTGCCTTTAAATGCTGTTCAAGAGGTAGGTTACTAATAATTATATGTAATGTATGTTAATAATAGTGAAATTTTATTTCATTTTTTGTAGCGTGTTGCTGCTGCTTTAAAAATTAGTTTAAGGACAGTTAGTCGTATTTCCGAGGGTGTGAAAAGTGATGCAAATTTAGAATCGCCCAAGAAAAAGCGGAGTTATATTAAACGTGTAACCAACACAGCGACATTGGATACAAGTGCCATTCGAGAAGTGATCTATAATATGTATCACAAAAGTAAGATCTTATTATAATAACTTATCAGAAATTTGCATTAATTTGTTAACTAAATTATAATGTCATATTACACATGGTTTCAGAAGAACAAGTTACGATACAAACTTTATGGTCTCGATTAAGAGATAGGGCATTATTTGATGGTAGTGCCACGTCTTTAAGGCGGTTGCTTAGAGATCTTGGATTTAAGTGGCTTAAGGACAATCCGCGACGAGGGCTCATGGAACTACCAAGTATAGCTTTGAAAAGGTGGAATTTCTGAAGCAATACAATCAAGCCAAGGTTGAGGCCTTATACCAGTTTGTCTTCCTCGATGAAACTTGGATATTTCAAAATGGGACCATAGGTCGCTCTTGGCAAAATGGAAACCAAAAAAGCGTGAAAGCTATTAAAACAGATGGTAAAAGGTATGTACTTTTACACAATTTGCACTATAAAATAAAACTAATATATTTTAGATACATTATATTACATGCTGGAAATGAAAATGGGTTTATTGAGGGTAGTGAAGCGATATTTTCTTCGAAAACAAAATTGAGCGATTACCATGGAGAGATGAACCAGGACAATTTTTTGAAATGGTTTCAACATCAGTTATTAGAAAAATTGGAGAGTCCATCTATGATTATACTGGATAACGCCCCTTATCACAGCATGATATTGAACAAAGTGCCCAACAATGCATGGACAAAAAAAAATATCCAAGACTGGTTGACAAATCAAAACATACCATTTTTAAACACAATGTTTAAAACAGAGCTATTGAGTATTGTTGCTCGGTACATAATGCTTCTTAATTATATATATTTTGGTCGACAGTTTATATTTCTTTTGTTTATTCCTATTCTTAAAATAACTGCTTTTTTAGAAACAAACCACCTAAAATATACGTGATTGATGAATTGGCGGAACAACATGGGCACAAAGTTCTTCGTCTGCCTCCTTACCATTGTATATTTAACCCTATTGAGTTAATTTGGGGCATAGCAAAAGGTTACTATAACAGACATATTGGTAGAGATGGTAACAGTGAAAAAGACTGTTTGGATATGTGGAACGAGGCTCTACAAATGGTTACCCCAGACATGTGGAAAAATAGTGTTCGACATACTGAGCAAGAAATTTTTAAATGGTATGAAAGAGAACGAATTTTTGATCGACCAGACATCGAACCTTTAATAATCAACTTTGAGAGTGATGAAGATTCAGATTCAGACAGCGCTGAAGAAAGAAACTCCGACTAACTTTATTGTACAGAAAAAGCTTACACCAGTAGCTTACCTAATTTTAGAATGCATTTTTCTGTATGAATTCTGTAAAATAAATACCATGCATAAAATTTGGAGGACCCCATTTGGATTTTTATTCAGTACCTTTAAGCTATCAATTAAATATGGTAGTTTCATAGTGTCATCTGATCAATAGTTGTCATACTTAATGATTATGCAAGTACAGATCTATAATTTTATTATACTATTATTTTTGTTCTCATTTGAGGTTAATATTGCTTATAAACCTAGATATGTAAATAATAAATTTTATTATTTTACAAAAAGTTTGGCAACAATGTAAATTTTTCAACACACCCACCTTGATGACGTGCACGCCACTTTGTTTGGCGTTGACTATAGTTATTTTTACATGAGGAACTATTGTGACATTTTAAAGTGCACAAAATCTTACTTTTAAGACAAGTCGCAACAGGTTTATTGCCTGCCTGCCGGTACGTACAACCCGTTCCTTGCTCTCGTGCCAACTAAGCAAAGTATACTAAGTGACATATAAATCCGAACACCCAGTTTAAATGGTTTTATTTTAATAAAAGTTGGTGAATGTATTTATCTTACTGTAAATAACAAGTGAAAAAATTTTCAGCCTTATCAGTTGGACATTCCGGTTTTTATACTGCTTTTTTTTAATTCACTAACGCTCTAAAAATGAATATTTCAGTCGCAGTAAAGAATCAACGTTGGCGGATTTTGGTTCTTGACATCCTTTACGATCGGTTACGATGCCTAGAGTACGGGACCTGTACGATTTCGTCAACTTAGTGAGTTTGATAGGGGCCGTATAGTGGGACTTCGGGAAGCTGGACTTTCTTTTCGGGCAATTGCAGTTAGAGTGCAAAAAAGTGTAGACACTGTGGTTAGGTGTTGTCAGGCATGGCTTCGAGAAGGCCGTACGCAAAGAGCAAGGGGCACTGGACGCCGCCGTAGAACAACAGACCGTGAAGATCGCCGCCTAAGATTATTGGCCTTAAGGGACCGTTTCTCCACTACCAGGTCCGTTGCAAATGAATGGTTTGCAGAACACGGAAGACCTATTGGCATGCGAAGTATTTACCGACGAATGAGAAGTTTTGGCTTGTTTTCATACCGGCCACACTGGGTCCTCCCTTTAACTCGAGAACACCGACGTAATCGCCTTGAGTGGTGCAGACAACGGTCACTCTGGGATCAGGAATGGAACAGTATTGTCTTTAGTGACGAGTCTCGATTTTGATTAGGCATGCACGATGGTCGTGCCAGGGTTAGAAGGCGACGTGGTGAAAGAAGGAATCCACAGTTTTTTGTTGAAAGACATGTTCATCACACTGTTGGAGTTATGGTTTGGGGTGCTATAGCTTATGGTTCCAGGTCACCTTTAATCTTCATCAGAGGTAACATGAACGCGCAGCATTATATTCACGAAGTTCTAGAACCCCATCTTTTACCCTATCTTTGACACCCTGGCAGATCCAACTGTCCAACAAGATAATGCCCGACCACATGTTGCAAGAGTCACAATAGACTTCTTTCAACATAATGATGTCACATTGTTAACATGTCCACCAAGATCTGCCGACTTATCCCCAATTGAGCACGTGTGGGATATGATGGGTAGGAGATTGCTCAATTTGCAACGTCCTTCTCAGACTCTAGAAGCACTTCGAGAGGAGTTGGTGGTTGCCTGGAATGAGATACCACAGGAGGACATTGACCACCTGATCAGAAGAATGCCTAGGCGCGTTGGAGAATACGTAGCACATCAGGGTGCATGCACACATTATTAAAGGTCGAAGGGCTTTAAAGCAGTGCAATCATTTTGAAATTTTTATCATTTACTTATTATGCTTCATTAAGTACTTATACAAAATTTTATTAAAATAAAACCATTTAAACTGGGTGTTCGGATTTATATGTCACTTAGTATATAAAACAAATAATATTTCATGCATTACCTACACGTCTTAGATATTTTATACATTACCTAGGCATCGTATGATTTATGCCTATCGTAATTGAAAGAACTTCTCCTAACTATTTCATTAAATGAATTTTTAAAAGAATTGAAATTATACAGATTGTCGGTAACATATACACGATATTATATAAAATAGAGCCACCAAATTATCTGAATCGTTCTTAGTCTGTACATAACGCCGCGTCGTTTGCACTGGCAGCACGAAACAGTAGACAAAATTGGTGCAAAATCCGATTTGTAGAGGTTTGCGTGCTTCGAAAACTGACGCTTCATTTTTTAATCTTTCCGAATGAAATTTTAACAGTGTACTGAAAATAAAACCCTACAGAGTGCTATCGGGCCACTTTTCTAGTTCAGCAAAAAAGTAAACATTTCAACCCACCATAAATCTTGCTCAATAACAAAATTTCAAAAAGTGCTCCGATAGCACCCCGGGCAATTGTCTTCTGAATATAGTGTCTGAATTTTATTAAAAAATATTGAAAAATGGAGTGTCAGTTTCGAAGCAGATGAACCCTTGTAAATGGCTTGAAACTCACTGCTTCTGAGCCGCCTTACGGCTTGGTCACGGGGATGAGCGACGCGAACGGCGATGAGGGTAGCAGGTTGCTGTCTCGATATTGCTTAGAAAGTAATAGTATTTTGGTTCAAGTCATAATATTTGGAAGAGACTGTGGAGTACATGATTTGAATAGGAATCGGAATCGGGGTAGAGATGGACAATTCCACAAGATGTACGAGAAATATAGAATGCATCCAGAAATCTTTTTCGAATATACCAGAATGAGTATCGGAACCTTCGAACATTCAACCAGAATTGGAAAAAAGTCAATGTTGATGGAATTTTAAGTGCTGGTGAAAAATTGCTTTTGACATTAAGGTATGTATCTATATAAAACATGACATTTGATTAGCTGAGCATATTTTGGGGAATGATAATACCCATCGACATTAACAACTTTCTCCAAAAAACATACGATCGCAAACGGAATTTTTTCATAACTAAATTTTTGCGGAACTACATTGCCAAAAATATGGTTAGCTAATTAACCGTCACCCTTTATATTAATATTCTAAGAAATTAAAATGCTTCACAATAATTATATTATTTATTTGCTTCGTGCTGATTCATGCCTTTGTTTCACTCACCCGCCGTGCCGCCAGTCACCCGCGCGGTTCGCTCGGTACATTTCTATGCGTTTATTTCAGTCGCTGGACACTGCGCAGTTCGTACCGCGCGAATATTCGCTATGGCGAATGTCCTATGGCCAGACCGTTAATAAGTTCCGCACAACATTCGAACGGACGCTGCAAATGCATGCAGCGGTGCTGAAACACTTATGACAAATCAGTGGTTGATTGAAGCAGAGGGACACACTAGTGCGGGAGCAATTGTAGGATAAGACTTCATTATCTGGCCGAATCAAAACCACATTTATGATTAGACAATAGCTTGTCGTACGACATTTCGACCACCTCTGTGTTCTTTTTCAAGTACAATTAACGTCTGTGACAATATATTTTTTCTGTCTTCTGGGTGAACTTTTCTTTCTTTTTGCCTTTTTTCACATTAGTATATCGTGTGTTACTACAATAGCCTGAACGGTCTTGTTGCATGCTGAGGTTGCCCGAAGCCATCATCGCGATTTTCAGATGGCACCCGGCAATCGTTCCGAATTCACCAAAGGTCTTCTGAAAACGCAAAAACCCACCCAGAACTATTGTTGCAGCACAACGGTTAATTTTCATGATTTACAGGATTTTGAATGTACAGATGTAATACGTCTCAAACCGATGTGTCTTATGTTATTTCCTCAAAGGGCAAACAACATGGTTCCCTTCAGATGCCGAAGTACTATTTACCGCATTTCAAATCGATAAAATCCAAGATAGCATAACAATTAATTCACGTTTGACGAGGGTGACGTGTTTGGTTTCTGGTACATTAGAAAACAACAGATAACCTCACGCTCGCTTGTCGCGGGAATCTGGATGTTCTTTTGGGAGTGGGAATGCCTACCTCAGGTAGTCCTGGGCTTTGTTTTGCGGGGTGCCATCATAAAACTGTAATGATGGCTATCTGCATATCGGAGAATCGTTCAGACTATTGCAGTAGCACACTTTATAAGCATGTGACAAAGAAAAAAGTGAAATGACACCAGACAGAAAATAAGTTATATTGTCACAGATGTCAATAGTACTTGAAAAAGAACACAGTGGTGGTCGGACTTCGTAAAATAAACAGAAATGTAAACATGTCTATTATGGTATTAACTGGGCCAGACAGCCCAGTTTTATAAACAAGAAAAACGCAGGATAAGTTTCATAGGTTACACCAGTCATGTGCTTTGCGATCAATAGGATGAAGCCAATTACTTGTCGCTCTTCTTTTTTGATTGCAGCTTGAGTAGCTCGAGGTCCAAGGATCAGTCTTTCAGATAAGCTCTTAATACTATCACCATTTTGAATTCGTGCTTCATATAAAATCAATTATAACGACTTGGTTGTAGTTGGTCACTTTTTCAATGTAAACAGTCTCTACCGTCTAGTTCAGGTAGAATGTAATTGTTGCTTAAATTGAACAGCCCAATTAAATCAGCTGGAGTTGATTATCGAATAGAATGAATGAGTTTTATTTCAGATTATCTTTGAGTTTATTTTATTTAAAAAGTAGAGAAGTTTGGAGCATACCAACAAGAAAAATGTAGGTCTTTTACAGCGTTGAAAATTTGACCAATCGAGAGTTCATGGAATATTGGCAATCAAGAGATCATAAACTTTGTCAGAAACCATTCGTCATATAATGCTACACACACGCTACATGAGTGTATGTATTTTTGATCATATAATTTGGCGCCAAGCTTCCGCATTCCTACTGAGGAATTTATTTACTAACCCAGTTCATTACAGCACTTTAGACTGCTAATACCATATAAAACGTCTTTAAGCTGACCGAGAAGGTAACGGAAAATTGAATGTGCGAAGTTAGAGCAATGAGTTCAAATAGCAGTAGTTTCCATAGGCTTCCTTATAATATAATACGATAAGTGCATGTGGTCTGTCAATACATGCACAGATACACATATTTGTTTGAAAAGGACTGCCACGGATACCCCAGACATATTTGATGCTGTAGTCACTTAACATCCACAAAGCTTGTGGTCCCTGCCATTGTGGTCACAGAATATTCTCCAAAGATGTCCTAGTGAAGCAATACAAGCAACTAATGTATCTGTAGCATCAACACTTGATTAGCAACAAGAAGTATAGGTTCGGGCACGATCAACCGAGGTCCTCCTAGCTTACGTCACTCAAATATGACGTGAACTTTTTTCGTTTGGTGTAGGTAGCTATCATCCTAGTTGAGGATTCTTCAATTCATCCCACAATGTCAACGTACTGTGTTTTGGCTGCAGCACTCTTCATGTTACATATTAACGAACTCCTTTGTAAATTCGATGGTTGACCTCTATGCTCCTCTTCTGACTCCTTTGCAGATGCTTATTTGATGAATGTGCTAATCTTGAAACACATAATCCTAGTGGGATCCGTTCACAAAATGTTAACCTTATATAGTATGTTAAACTGTTTTGACGGTATATGCTTTTCGGTCCATGTGTGAATGGATTCCGTACAAAAGTATCAGCAGAAAAAGTGTAAAAATTCTTCAAAACATTGTTACTACTATTGGAGGGTATGCAGTTTTTTATGATATAGTCATACGCTGGTGCCAAGAGAAGACGAGAAGAAGTGAGAAAGAATATCTTATAGAAACCAACATCATCTTTGGTCCACTTGTAACAACCAAAGAATTCAGACTAGGTAGGAGCCAGTTAAGGATTTGTTTGTCTCCTTATTATCACAGTCTGTAGTGAGGATGAAAGTGCACTTGACATGAGTCAATTTTTTGACAGTTCTGTCATTAAATAGTAGCTTTAGAGTTATTTTTAGTAGTGCGAGTGTTTGCAGATAATTGTGGTGTTAAACGATTTCAAAACGTGGGACTTCTTACATAATTTGCAAAGGTCAGCACAAACCGCCGATAAGGATCATTATTATGTTGACACACCATTGTCACTTTGATAGGCAATGGTAGACAAATGAGTATGCACTGAAGTTACGCATATTTGGCGACAAATAATGCAATGTAAACATATATGCTTGACCCCTAAACTATTCGAATTCTATGGTAAAAACTGACCGAGATATTAAAAAGTGGAGCAGTATAACGATCTATTATGAAAACTTAAAATTGTGGGATGCTGTTAAGAAAACGGGATATGTTAACAAGTGGAGTGCTGTTTCATAAACTATAGCTCTTGGATCATAGGATGCTCTCCAGTTCATCCCCAGAAGTTGGTTTATGCCTGCACAGAGACTGTTGTCATTTTCGGCAATCATCGCATTATTATCGTTCTTGAAAGAAGATCCATTCCATACGGAGTAAATACAATATTTGTTTCAGAATTGATCCTTGCAAAATATCCCCATTCACACTGTGAGATGAAGAAGAAAAACCTTAGGGAATTCGTCACAGAATATGTGTTTTCATAGAAGAGCAGCATGCAACAATTGATCGAAAGCCTAGTTAATATCAACCACAGATAATCAGCACCAGCGACATATAAGCTTCAGTTCAAACTTACTTCGCAATATGTTAGCCCACCTAGCAGGTCCCCAGTTGATCACCTGCATGTCAACTTAAGTATTCCAAAGCATAGCCTATCTCGATTGTCAGTTTAAACGATATTTCATATTGATATCGTTTCCAGCTAACGATGAGATGGATTTGTAGTCTAATTTGTTGATCCAACTGCAGTCTCCTATCTGTCTTATGATTGATTGCTATTTCCATATCGGTCTTATTTTTTTATATTACATTCCTCGTAGGCTTGGTAAAAACACGATCTCCAGTTATACAACTCATCAAAACACTACTGGCATGCGATTAGATCTGATGTAATCTACATACATACTTTCTTTATGGTATAAAAAACAAAAGTACTTTATACACTGTAATCGGAACTTGTTATGCAATTAGTCTCCCCGTATGAAAAAGTTTTGATTATTAAAAGATCATGTAACTATCTTCATCGGATACCTACCGTATTTCTTAAATGTTTCAATTACTTGTGACTAATTTGTCTGTTGTAATTCTGACTATCGTACTATACTCAAAAAAGATTACGCAAAAAGTTTATACAAACACATTTTAATTAATGGTATAATTTAATGTTATACTTTTTCTTATACCCAAGCAAACGCGAAGGCAAAACATACGTATATGAGCACAAACGTTACAGGATAAGTAAGCTTCTTAATTTAACTAAGAATTGTCGAATTTTTTAGATTCCTCCTACCTTATCGGACTTTGGGAATGATGTCCTACCAGCTAGCTCTAGTCATGCTAAGTACAAACTATTCAGAGTTACAAGCATCCTTTTAAAGAATACTTTAAAGAAAGCGAAAGCTCGGAGGAAAGCTCAGTAGTAAAAGCTACTAGTACATCGGTAGAAAAATGAAAGATCACGAATCTCTTGTTGATGAAAAAGTGAGCTGCGACTGTGAGTGTTTATGTATTAGAAGTGACACGGATGAGTCAAATTGCATCTCTCTGAATTGTATCAAGTTCAATCAGTGTATAAGGGCAGCAGCTTCTCAGACAAAAACGTAGAACTCCTCCTAGACTTGATGAGAATACATACTTTCTATGGTTCTAAATGAATAACCCAGCCAAATCACCCATGCCCACATCTAAACCAATGACTTATTAGCAATGGAGATAGCACAATATTTCCACGACTCCAAGGCAGTAATAACTGAGAGACGTATTCTCCCCGCATCCAAGGAGCTGTCATCTGAGAAATTGTGGATTGGTTTGCCAGCTGAAAACGCATCAAGATTAAATGTCTAAGATGAAGGGTCATTCTAGTCCAATATAATTGAAGACGACATGATTTGCAGTTTGCACTGTCAAGCCGAAGTTTCTTCATAGGTAACTCATTTACTGCTGGTTTATTCGAAATAAAGTGGTCAGTGAAATACAGAGTTTTTCTTCCTTATTGTTTCCTACTTACTCTTAGATCTTCTGCTGTGTTAGACAATTTAGTGTGTGGGTTGGTTGTGATTGCGGAAGAAGGTAGACAACGAATATATGCAACACACTAAATAAATGCAGATTGATTTAACGATATTTGTTGATGCGATGTGACTCGTAGTGGGATTAACACTGACGGTGGTGGTAGTGCCCGGTACCGCGGGCGGCGGCACTATTTATAGTGGTTTAATGTAGGAAAAGAATAATTTACAAAGGTATACATTCCAATAATACAGTTTTACATAAACACAGAAAATCCAAAAAAGATAAACTTGTGCTGGGTAATACTTCCAATAACTAGAAACAATTAAAACTTGGAAGAGCGTAACCTTAATAAAATTCAGATATGATAAAAGATTAATGGGCTGACCTAGTAAAACTAAAAAGAAAAAAATAAACACATAATATATTAAAAGCTAGAAGTTAGTAGTAATAGTTAAAAAAGTACTTAATACGAATACTAAGAGAGTGCTAAAATGTAAAAAGAATCTGACAGAATATGAAATATAAAAAAGGATACAGATTAAAAGCTATTTAATTAAAACTAGGTACTATGATTAATGTCCACAATAATGCAATAATGAAGGCAACGTTTTAATCTATTCTTCTTTCCTTTCAGATTAATTCATGCTTGATTATTTTTCTTTTAATTTTACTGATAAGGTAGTACGAGTACTTTGTTATATAACGAAGTTATTGTGGTTGTTACGGTGTTGACTGAAATTGTTCAGTCATTACAGGGAATGACTGAAATGCTTAGTCAAACGATGTAATAACCAAACTGTTACGGTGTTTGCCGGCAATACGGGGAATGACTAGGAATTTCAGGGAATGACGGATTTCAGCCGAAATATCCATTGTTTAATTTTTTTACTTGAATAGATTCAAGGAGCTTAACGACTTATATTCTACAGGAATACTGTTGTACATATGAGGTCCAAGGAATGCCCATGATCTGAATAGTAGCAATTTTTCTGGTTTCGGTACAATTAAGTGCGACACCGTCTTTGTCCGAGTCTCATACTTATGATTGATTTTGTTTTGAGAAACCCTGTTTCTGTACTGAAATACGAGTAGGTTGTAAGCATAAAGGTGGCGAGTATCGAGTATCTCTGTTTATATAAATAGTTCATTAGAAGGGTAGAAACTTGGCTTTTTGAACATAACCTTGAGAGTACGTTTTTGTGCCACTTCAAGAGTCTTAATAAATGTGACTGCTGCTCCATCCCAGCCTATGATGCCATACACCAGATGTGACTGTACAAGAGCTAGATAAAGACTATTTAGATGTTTCTGGTATAGGAATACGACGCAAATGGAACAAAACTGATCTTTGCATAGTGCACTGTCAATAACTTGTCATTGAAATATGCGGCAATCTTTTTAAAATCATCTTGCAATAATAGCAACGACGAAGGTGTAATCGTTGATTAAGAGCGTTAAGAGTGATGAATTCACCATAGACAACTTGCTTTGCATCTTCTTCCATCTCTACAAGCTTTCTTCATAGGAAATTTATAAGTGCCTACCTTCTTAAGACTTTCTCGGAATAGTCAGCGGTCAGTCCAACATCCAATTACTCTTTCTTTTTATTGTTTTCTACCCACTCTTAGATATCCTGCTCTGTTGAAATCTGAGGCTGTATAGGGCAATATGAAGTGTCGAATTATTTCCATGTGACTTGACTACTCTACGGGTCTTTTATTTATCTTAAGACTAAAATATGTGCGTTATATTACTGGTATACACCTTAGAAGTTGCATCCTATTAATTACACAAATAGGCAACTAACGGTACCACAGATCGATACTAAAACCCCTTAACCTTAACAAAGCCATAAACAATGAATGTGTTATCTGAGCCTGGGGAAACCAACCAAGCATTAACATAAATCACTTTCCTTAAACGTTTCCGTGTGCTCTTATCTGTACACCTACCTAATAAGTAACAAAAATGCTATTGTACTGAGTGTACTTTCTACAGAGAGAACTGTGATCATATCTCTCACAAACCGACCAAGTACAATGCCATGAGTCAATGACAAATTAGAGAAAGATGCAATTCAGCTATACAATGCTGATCTTGACCGGAGAAGCGAGATCTGGTCAGATCTTGGCATTGATCTTAGAGGATGGTTTTTGAAATATTTAGCACTTCCGTCAGTTCAAATAAATTCCAAGCCATAGCTCTGGACAGTACAGACTACTGAATTTACGTTACATGCCAGTGCAAGCAGTCTTGCCAGATCTCATCTTCTGCAATTTTGTCTCCCACAGGCAGTGATTGTCATCGTTTCGATGAAGGTAATGCGTATAATTAATACAGTGATGATAACAATATATGCGTATATGTATAATAGCAATAAGTGAGGATAGGCTTATTAGCAAATGTAAAAACGTCAGTAATCCGGCAATTACAAAAATACACTATCGTTGGTACGGTAACAATAAGAAAATTCATGCACTACGGATTGTTTTGTTTAAATATGAAAGAAAATATCCTGTCGAGCGCTGTATCTGTAAAAAAGGGTGTCTAAATCAAAATCAGCTATATGTTGCTTAAATTCGGACAAGTAAATTAAATTTTCTCTTTTTCGGCTATCGATGCACTATTTTATCAATTTCTACTTATAAATCGAATCGAAAGGTATTGTAAGAAGAAGTAGTAAGGAAGCATATGTTACTCCTTACGATTGACAAGTAACAGCTTCTCCAATCTAAATATTGATTTTACGATGCTGACGACGCTGAATGAAATCAGTTAAATCGGTGGATTTTATTTCTAGAATCTTTTTAGAATTAATAGGTGAATTAATTTTAAACTATAACTTTATATAACTAATATATATATATATATATATATATATATATATATATATATTTACTTATTCTAATTATTCAAAAATTACTTCTACAGTCATTGCATATATGCAAGCGACCTAACTGAACTATTATTTGCGATTGTTTACATCGTATTCGTGAATATTACAACAACAATTACAATTGTATACCATATGAAATGATGTATTTTACAATGCGAGCATCACTGTCCAAATGTTTGAACTAAGGATTTCCTAGCAAAACCTGACCATTAGTTAAATGCTGACGTATTTTTAAGTACCTATGATTTGATAAGGTACAATACAGACTCTTGAACTATATCAAATTCCTACTTACAACACAACAAATAATACACATGTCTTTCTTTGTACAGGGCGTTTCAGAAAGACATGACAATATTTTTAAGGTAGAAAGCACATCCAAAAATAACAAAAAAAGGTCCTATAAATATGGATCTGAAGATGCTGCCCAACCTAGATACAGGGTGATGAAGTTTTACTTATGAAATCGAAAAAATATATATCTACGGAGCAGGTAAAGATACTCCTGGCCTAAACTAAACCAGGGACTTAGGAACTGGGGTGCCTGGACCCTTAACATGAAATATTTTCTAGGCAACTGACCTATTCGGAGAAAAAAGTGCATTTTATAAAATACTATTCAATTTTCCATTAATTTTGTTTCCTAAGGATTTTTTTTCAGATCAAGTGTTTTGGAGATATTTTTGAACATTTGAACTAAAATCTTAAAATATTGTTTAGCCTCCCCTATTCTGAAAAGACAGTGAAGCTTGATGCTACAAACACTATACGGAATGCGAAAGAAGCTATAGAACCTCAATTCAACATTATTTGAATAATATGCGTCTCGATTAGTAGCGTGTAATATAAAATTACCATTTACTAAGCTTTTCCTGTGCACCCCACTGGTTTTGCCGGCATATTCATTTTTGTTTATAATCTGTGAGAAAGAAATAAAATATGTAGTCAGCCTCCTCCTTATACTTCGTGTCCGAGGTTGCTAAGGATTAAATTTTACTTAAATTGGTTGGGTCCACAATTACTGGTTGTGGTTTTAGACAAACGGCTATCCATAGATTTTTGAAATAAGTTCTTGTTCAGCATAGATACAAATGGAAACGGAAATTTGCAAGGAATATATAAAATTAGTCTCAGATGCAGTAATACAAACGTACGAGAAAGTACATGGGTGTAATGATAATATTAATAATGAGAGGATGGAAGATGTATGGAAATAAAACTCGAGAAAGTGAAGATGCATTTTACTATCTCATACAGCTACGATCATGAATTTTACTGTGTCGAGCGGACAGTGGACTCAATTACATACATTGACGGTGGCGGAAATAAAAATAGGTAGTTATATGAGAGAGTGAATTACTTGTTGCGGGCCGTGCACATTTCTTTTAGAAACTTATTTGATACAAAAAACAGATGTGTTTATGGCTAGTCAAGAGACAAAATAGTTTTCTCGATGAGTAGAGTGGAAATGAATATAATGTAATGATGTTATCGAGCTCCTGATCATGGAGGACCTTGTATGCGAAATGGAAGATCATATCTTTCAGCCACCAGGGTGACTGAAGGGAATAATACTGTCTACAAGTATTCAGTCCCTGGACTCTTTCCAACCAAATACAATTGATTTGCACAAGACTATACATTTCTATTCACGATGTAGCAATTTCTATGTCTCTTTGTGAACTGGTGGAACATAGACGTTCTTGCAACTCACTGAAAGATGAAGAGAAGAAGGGTGTTGCAATATTTCAGAAATATTTACACTGCAAAACAATTATTTATAAATGAACATTCAAACAATACAAAGCACACCTGTTTGCATAATAATGTCACTTTTTGACTGACCAGTGTATTTTGGAAAAATAAGGATACCTGAGTCTCCAGTCGATAACCTCCGT